GGAAAGACTTCGGGACTTCTTTCTGCACGAGAATATGTCAATGTGCAGATATGACACCGATGAAAAATTCTTTACTTGAAAAACTCGTGTCATCCTACCGGCAGGTTGACTTTTCTTTTTTCAAGCGCGTGAACAGTTGATTAATTTTGGAGTCTACTTAAACACTTTTGCGTAATTCTCTCGTCAGACTAAGTTGATGTCTTGTTTTCACTCGTATAGTTTTTTTTTTTTTCTTTTTTGCTAATGCATTTTGTAAATAAGGTTTGGAAATTGCGTCTTTGCAAGTCAAGTGCCAAGAGCACAGTTTTCACTCATTTTCATAATGCGATTTTTAAAATTTTGTACATATATAGAATATATGTTAATAGTGTATATACACTATATCTATGACTCCCTGTCCTCCTGGTCGTTACGCATGCCTTGGACCCCAGCTTCCCGAATTCGGCAGCTTCTCGAAATAGGCACTTTTGGGCGGGTCCCTTGATCTGCCTAGTCCAAGAAGTTCAACTGTATATCCATATTTGAAAATCTCTCTCAAACACCCCTCTTGTAATGTGGAGATATTCGTTCCCATTCATATCTCCCCTACATTTTTCAACATGAATACTGTTCGTGTTAATCTGGTGCGTCAACGACTAAAAAGTTACTACGTTGGCCTCTGTGGCTGGACAAAGCAGGGGCCATCTTGTTTTACCCTTCGGCCCGCTGGAATTACTCTCATTTTAAGGGGTTTGTTCTTTGGTCTACTTTTTCATTAGCCCTTTAAAATACATATGCTTCCATTGGTGCATAGTCCATTCCTTTCACATTTACTACGGGCAATAAAGGGAAATTTAGATTTCCCCCCCATTTCTTCCTTTCACTTTATTACACCTCTTTGGTACTATGGTATCTGCCTGTTCCCAACTGCACCATCACCATGATAAATCGTCATTGCATTTTTTCCACAAAATCTCATTTACTAAACTCCTGTAGATTATTCAACTTGCTAAATGGAAAAAAAATATTCCTTTTCTAGTATGGATTTTCTAGCATTTTAAACATTTACTTGGAGCGTTACACATTGACATTCTCATTTTAGCCTATTTCTTTCTTTAGCGCTACTCTTTCCAATACCTGCGACAGGAGAAGAAAATGAAGAAGTGCAAAATGTGAATTACATTTCCAGAAAATATCTCCATACAACAGGAACAGAACATACAAACCGTAGCCTAGCATATCTAACTTGACTATCATAATCAAATAATCTTTAAAAGAATGCATTAAAAGGATCATACGAAAATATAAACTAAATCAATTTGAAAACTCATTCCTGTCTCTTCTAATCACATCTATATTTCAACATTCCCAACAATTGTCTTAGTAATCTTATTTAGTTTGATATCCCCCATTCTGTCTCCACTAGTACACACTATACTTGTTTAAAATGCATCCTATGCAATGCTCTGCAACATTGCACAAGCCAATAGAAAAAGGAGACTGGAAGCTTCTTACACATGTATAATATACGATACATATAAAGAACTCTACATCTCTCTACTTGCCTATAGTCGTATCACATTTTGAATCTATCTTCCAACTCTCTAAAAAGAATCAGGTCCTTTCGTAAGATTTTGTGAAAAATACTTTTAAATGTTTAATATAAAATTCAGACAATATATTTTCATTTATATTTTAAACAGTTGCCATACAAAAGACACCCTCTTTCCCATGTTACTGACATTTATTTTAAATCACAAAGGTTTATCTTTTGTTTTTTTAGAAGTTAACAAGCAATATAAAAATACATGTCATATAATATCTGTAGAGCTGATAATCAATTTCAAACTTCCAATCAACAGTAAAAAAAAGTAGCATGCACATAATTACAGATGTTCAACCATTTCCCCTATAAAATAGTCTTTAAAAAATAATAATGGGAAAATAAAAAAAAAAAAAGTCGGCCACATACAAATGGAAATACTTAAAGCATTGTATCAATGGAAGTCGCACCTCGAAAATTTCCAACACTATCAAACATAAAGGGATGGGAAGGTCACAGACATATTACAGTTAAAAAGTGTCATGGTTACAACATAAACGGTCTTCACAAGTCTCTCTGCTCTTAAGACATATCTGGTCCACTGGTTTAAAGTCCAAGCCACATTCTTGTAGATTACAACAGTGTGTCCCTTCAGACCCAACTTAGCATAACTTAACCTTGACGAAGTTCCAGACCCTTTGACTATCCTGTTAATGAGTGGAAATCGTGAACACAGTATATAGCATCTCTCAATCTGGAGTTAAAAGCTGCATAGAAAATAAGGTAAACAAAATGTCTTTGTATTAAGGAAACTCAAGCAACTTCTACTAAAGCAAAAAGTTTGACACTGGGTAACATGGCTAGCAGGCACTTCAACATACTTAAAAAAAAGTAAGAGCCATATTCTCAAATAATTGCAAGCAATCCATGTTTTATTAATCAGGCAACACCAATATCCTAATTCACTAAACCCATCATCAAGCCATGACAAGGTGGGAGTCTGGATGAAAAGACTATATCAAAGGCCTAAATTCATCTTGCATGCATATTTAGAATAGGGCATGGTGAAGTAAGAATATTCATGCAAAATGGAAAATGGAATAATCTAATTATTCTATACACGTCCTATACCAGTATTGTACTTCAGGTCCTGTCCCTTTGGAACAAGACCTGAACTCCTTGACATCTAGGTTGCCATCTTCAACATTATCATAACTACGATCACAGTTCAGTTTTCATTCATTGTATCTTGAACTTATAAACATTGTATTTCATACTTTTTAAAGTCATTAGTATCCAAATGCATTGAAATGAGCAATAACAAGTCTATAAATAATGTAACTTGGACCACGTGTAAAGAAGTAAATGGTTTCGTACACGATTGATATATAAACATATTTAGGATGTATAAAATATTACACGTCTCTCAATTCAGGCATGCAGTATGTGTAACCCTGAAATCAATCCATTCTATGAATGAGATTCTTTTACTGATATAATGTATTTATCACACAAATTCTTAGATAATACCTTCAACATGGGAAACAATTCACTTATAATTTTTAGTATTCATGAGAGCATACCATATCAAGAATAACTGGTTTCAATCTTCTTTTTTCAAAACTTATCAACTGACTAAAGCAATCATTCACCGGGTAACAAAATTTGCTTGTGTCTTCTATATCATCCAAGTTTCCACATTATTATCCAACACCTCTCATAGTTCAGGGTCCTTGCATTTATTTTTTCATTATCATTTGCAAGGCAAGCAGAAAAAAAAAATAGAAGTCAAAACTGCAAATTTGAGCACTTCAGGTGCTAAGCAGACTGCTCAGCACACAACACCAATGCCCTGCAACACCTCTCTCTCGTGTGGATTAAGATGTGGGATGAAGACAGGAAAGGCTGGGTGTTGTGCAAACGTGCTGATGAAAGGTTGTGGAATGATACTGCTGCAAGTCCAGACTGTACAATGGATCACTCACTCTGAAAGGTAATATACAAGAATAAAGGGTTATAAAACAAGATTTACACAAGTACATTAGGAAAGAAATACAAACATACAAAATCTATTTATGAGAAAGCATAAATCCTATTCTCCTTCTTTAGCAAATTCATTACATTAAATGAGACCATGAACAATCTCACTCACAGCATCAAGGGTCATTCCTCATCATCCACAGTGTCTGCATCATAGCTAGGATATAACCTGCTGGCGGAAACAATTGTGGCAAGTGCAGAAATCTCCGTTGGTCTGGCCATTACCTCCTCGTCATCCTCACAGCACTCATCTTCTGATATCCGCTGTGTTGAAATAAATAATACAGTTATTTAGTATTTTATCAATCCATCATACAACTTTGGAGACCGCTATCTACTTGTACAAGAAAAGAATCATGCTTGCTTACAATATAGAAAATAATGAAACAAAAGAAATCATGCTTTCTATCTACAGAAAATAGGATGAAAACAAGAAAAAGAACCATATATCAAAAGGAGGGAGGGATAAGAGAAAGGACCAAAAGGAAAGGAGTCTGGGGAGAAGGGAGGAGGTGGGAGGAAGGAACAAGGAAGGAGGAGGCCTGGGGAGGAACGAAGAAAATGAGAAAATGAGGCATGGGGCACGAAGGGAGGTAGGAACAAGAAGAGGAGGCCTAGGGAGGAAGAAGAGAACAAGGATGAGGAGGCCTGTGGAAGACAGGGAAAAAGAAATGGAAGAGGCCAACTGATGGAGAAGCAGGAGGAAAGAGAGAATCCCTTTTAACTACAAACAGTTTTGATTACATACACTACTTCGTCATCGTCCTTCGTCAGGTTTGAATCTATGGCATTGGAGTAAGTTCGTTAATTAAAAGCTTGAAAATCTTTATTAACACAGGCACTAAGTCCACTGTTCAGTAGGTGAGCCGAGTAATATAGACAACACGTTGTGATCGTGTGCGCACTCTGCCCTCTGGGAGAAGACCTATAAAAAAGAAAAGATAATAATAATAACAATAATAACAATAAATAATACATAATAATAATACATATAATATATAAATAACATAATAATAATAATAATAAATAATAATAATAATATAATAATAAAATAATATAATAATAATAATAATAAATAATACATAATAATAATAAATAATAAATAATAATAATAATGAATGGTATCATAATCAACCTTTTAGTTATTTTTTATTTCCATTTTTTTATTTCTTTTAAATAGAAATGCTACTAATACTAAATATGAATATGAATTTGGATCGCATGAAAGATACACCTAATGATAAATTCAAAATAATTCTTAAAAAAAAGTTCAATCTCAAAATAAAACTAGTGGAAATTATATACTGCCTACCTTTCTCACACTCTCCTCAAAAATGAAAAAAATGTAATATCAATATGGTTTTATTCAAATTATCTTTAATGTAGTATCTCTGTCAACAGATGACAAAAAACAAAAACTACACTGCAAGTTAATGGGAATAAAAACACTGTCACAAGGGAAAGTTAGTTATTGAACACACCTGATCTCCTTGAACAATGATGTCTTGCAATCTGGTATCATTTGATGTCACACCATGCTCCAGTAGTTTAGCCAGGGCAACTGCACTAACCTGTTAAAATGCATTTGAAATGACGACCTGCTTTGTAATAAGATGGTGATGAATAGCTAAAATAAATGAATTGAATGCACGTTAGTTTACACTTTATTTTTATCCTAAAACCTCCATGGAAAAATGTACAAGGCAAAACACAGACAAACACATACCTTTCCTTCATATGCACCGAAGAAGAGATGCTGTTTGGAGCACCACTGAGTGAGAACGAAATGAAGAGCCGACTGTCCTGAGGGCCAGGAACCCCGCCAGGAAATTCAACACCCCATCCAACTGTGAGTGGACTAGCTGAGCATACACCAGCACCAGGTTTTGCACAACTGTTAAACTCTCTGCACCCTGTGTGGAACAAGCAAATTCAGAAGAATTATCTACAGTTCCTGGATTAATGCTTCAAGTTCACTTAAATGAAACCACATCTCTAATCTAGCTGGCCTAATATGTCCACCTAATCATTTTTGCTAAAGTTATCCTTAGCTCCTAGTCATACCATTTCCAAATTAACTTCCAAAGCTAGATTTTGGACTTCATAGAATGAATCTATGATTATTCATAAGGGACTCTAAAGCCAATTTAGCACATATTGTTCATCAGAGAAATTGGGAAATAATTTGTTTACCTGGCAATGCAAGGTAAATTAAAGCAAATAGAATGAACAAATGTCAATTTTTGGAAGCTAAAAGACATAAATCAATATATTCAAAGAAAGGTAAAATTACTGACCATAGGAGGCCAAATGGAGTTATGACAGGACAAACTTTTTTGTATCTCAAAACTGACGCTGCTCTATACTTCAAAGGCAACATTTGCCATATAATCCTCCACATTATGAAGAGTTTTCCTTTAAGCCCTACAAATATTGGATACTACAACTATAAATTACATTATTCAACTTCAAATAGGAAACAGCTAAATGTTAATGGAAACATTATATTGTCACTGTACAAGTATTACAATCTTCAAACACCAAAAGATTACCAACTGCATATATGATATGATGTTAACATAGCGTACAATGTGTGTCCAAAGTCCTTCATTTTCATTCTAGTTTGAAGATTAACAATCCTTGCAGTGATTTCCAATACATTTTCTGGCTATTGTTTCACAACTCTCAGATAAAATGCTGTAAAAATTTTCTCTTATCAAAAATACCAAAATCAGTCAAGAGTCAAAGGACAACTCACCTGAAGTTTACTAAGGACAGCTCTGAGAAGAAGGTCCAGGTTATCCCTAAGTGGTCACCTGCTCTTCGGATAAGGACGGTAATGAGGCGGCCCACAAAAGTGGCTGTGTGTTCACTAGTGGCTGGTGATAAGAGCTGTGAGGCTACTTGTACTACATATTGCAACCCTGATCTGCCCTCAGCATCATGATATGCTAACACCTGAAAAAGAAATAACCAAGATCATAACATTCTGTTGCATGACAGTTTGAAATTTCAAAAATAATACAAATTATCAAATTTCTCAAAAAAAGAATCAATAACATTACCTGATCTGGAGCTACAGAAATATAAGCTCGTAAACATTCTCCTCCATTCTGAAGAGTTGAATTATCATCGGTGTTTAGAGTTCTCTGGACGACCGCAGGAAAGGCTACGTTAATAAGGGGTTCACCAAGTGGAGGTGATGAGGAGCGGACCATGACTTCTAACATGTCTAATGCCACAGCCTGCATACCTGGGGGGACCTGCAAAGTGTGTCTCATTTGTATTCATGTTCATGTTTATCAGGTCCTTACAAACCAAAAGCAAGAATACATATAACTAACTCCATCCTAAACATTCTAAAATCAGCAACAATCCTGGTTATATATAACAAAATATGCTAGAAGACATTTCATAAAGTAAAAACAGAATGCTCAAAGAAAGAAAAACTTTCTTTTTCAACAATCTCACTTTATCTGTCGATGCATTAAGAATGGAAGCTAGAGTTGGGATGAATTTCGTCTGGAGTGTGGTGGTGCAGCCCGGGTTTTGGCAGAGCTCCCGGACAACATCTTGTACAAGGGCTACCAGGACAGGGTCATTATTGGCCTTAATAAATACAGCGAGGCAAAGTGTGGAGATCCGACCAACATTGGCTGCTGTGAAGTTTGAGTCCACAGAAACAACAATGCAGCAAGTCTCCAGGATGAGTGACAGGACTTCTGATGATGCCTGAGTGGCAAGCGTGACGAGGCCATCCAAGATGGCTGGCAAGTATGGCTGGAGGGCACCTGGGTTGCCACTGCCTTTTAGAAACTCACAAAATCCCCACACAGCTCTGTCATATTGAGAGAAAGGCATATATTTGAGGAAGACTAAACATATTACATACATAAATATATTTGAGAAAGTTCAATAAATATATATACTTTTTGTTCTTTAGGAGCACTTAAGTAAAATGTATCAGTCTTCTAGCTGGTCCTTTTATTTTAAAAACACTGTAGATTTAATAAAATGATTTATTTTAAAAATACTGTAGATTTAATAAAATTATTCTGAACACCAGAAAGTTCTCATACTTCATTCAAATCATGACTAATCGAGCCTGATGTATCTAGTTCCTACTAAACAGTGCATTCTGTCACACTTTACATATATTATTCCTTCTAATAACCAAATATTGAATAAATCAACTAAAAGTAACACACACTACTGTAAAAGTTAGCATTTCACTTCCAATTTCGTTAAAATATATTTTCTCAAGAGAAGACTAACCTGACACCAGAAACCTTAATGATGGGATTAGGACTATCTTTGAGAGCAGACACTGTTGCCTGAAGGAACTGTTCCAACATCTCAGGAGTTATGGCTTGGCCAAATCTACTTCCACACCACAGGGCTCGGCCAGCCAGGAAGGGAGATGCTGGAGGAGATGACCAAATAAAGGTTTCCACAATTCATTGTAATTATTTAATATCTGCAACTGCTACATCTTTCTTTTTATGAAACTGCTAACAAATAATATATATATATATATATATATTATTAATATATATATATATATATATATATATATATATATATATATATATATATATAAAAGTGATCATGTTCATCTCCATACAACCAACTGCTACCATATCTGTCATTCTTTCAACAAGATTCACAGTCATATTTTTCTTCCTGCATGTTGCCTACAAGACTATTGTCAAAATAAAGAGAACAGGACTTACAATTAGGATCCAAGTCTGCCAACACTACAGACTGAATGAAGTTTGTGAGGTCAAACTGCAGCTGTCCCTTAGCCACCTGATCCAGGATAAGGTCACGCACAGACCCAAGTGCCAGCATGACTGCTTCGTGGGTTTTCCACCACGCAGGATCCCCAGCTGACCTCTGGGTAGTCGCACGCTCGAGGTGCCTGCCCACAGCCACAACAAGGCCCTGGCCACAGTCTTCGGCTAGTTCCTGACACAAAGCCTGTGTAGGAAGAACTCCATTAGCTAAAACCTGGGCAACCTTATGTTTATTTAAATGAGAGCACAAATAGCAGTTATACTTCACTGACTTTTTAGTGATAATTTGTTTTCTTATTGTTCATTTTCTAATCAAACAAGGGATAACAACTATGCTCACCAGAAGGAGATCCTGGGCAGATATCCTGACAGAATATGCAAAGCTATCTTCATCTTCATCTTCAACAAAGGCATCTGGATTATTGCTCCAATTTTCAATCTGTAAACAATAGATTATCTTCATCATACCGTAACTTAGCAACAACTTTAGTCACACTAAAATTTTTATAAAATTTATTTGCTCCCTAATTCTGTAACTTTCTGAAACCTTGAAAAAATACTAATAAGTTAAAAGTTTTTTTTTGTTTTTTTTTTTAGATGAATCTCCAACCCCAGAATTCCTTTGAAGTATACCATGACATGTAAATAAAAAGATAAATTTTCTAAACAGATATAAAACAGCCTTCTGACTAAAAAGGTTAGAATATAATACAGCAAATCATCTATTTCTACCAACAGATTCACTAATATAAAAAAAATCTGTATCTCACACATACCTGATCCTCAGTTATTTGCATATATAAAAGGATGTAGTATATCAAATCAGCTATTCCTTGCTTAACCATCTGTTTGTGTTTGGTCGTCTCCACAAGGGCATGGACAAACTCAAATATGGTAAACACTAAATTTTCAAAACCCAGAACTTCACCTGAAATTTCACGAGAATAAAACAGGGTTACAAAGAATTACATAAAAATGTTGTCTTAGTATATTGAAAAAAATAATAACAATAATAAAATATAAATAAGTTTACCACATCCCAAGAGAGTCATTCTTGCATCTTTTGTACACCAATCTGACAGCATGTGTCAAATGAATTGATAAACGTGCATGAAAATGACCTCTATGAAATATTCACCATAAAAGTAACTTCAAAAAATATAAAAGCATAAACAAAACAATATCAAACTTACCATCTGAATCAACAGGGTCATCAGCATCTTCTCGTGCATTGACAGTGGTGTTGACATACGTATCGGCGCTAGAAGTTAAGGTTTGCCACACAGGTCCTAGCACCTCCCCAAGATACTGGCCCATTTTTTGGGTACGTTCTTCATCAACACTGTAAGAGCTGGAATACAAAACATTTGTATAAGTTAAGGCAGTTAATATTTCTTTCTGTGTGGTAATTTTTATTTCTTTGTTTTTTCCTTCTTTGATTCAGAGCACCATCATTTGATGAAATGAAAAAAAGGTAAAAAAGCTATTAAAGGATTAGAATTACTGTATATTCTTGCTAATTTGCAGTTTTCAGAGACAGATTCTTTCATTTTCTACACAGAAGTATAAAAGAAAAAAATATACCTATACATCATATAACAGGTCTTTTATCACTTTATTATTTCCCAAATCTATCAAAAGCTTTATCAGAAAAAAGTTATTTGATACATTCAGACCCTCAAAAAGACTCCCAGTGACTTGATTTGTGACTGAAGATTTTAAGTATTTATCAATATGTTTCATGTATATACTAAAAAAAAACATATCCTCCAATAACTTCAAAGTAACAATATGACATTCACTTTAATACAGCAAGACTAATCAAGAGGCAGAAAAATCCATCACACTGTTAACCCCAATCATGCCGGGTATCACATATATGAGACACTGGAAAAAATAAACATTGCCGGTGTTCCCGCCAGTGTGACACTGTATCAGGGCTGCGCTCCGACGCAGCAGCAGGCGTGCGGCCGGGCGGGTGACAGACTCCAGGAAGCTCCGCCCGCCGATTTCGTAGCCGCCCGGAATTTTTATATTTTGGCTACAAAATGTAACCGGAGTGAATGGGTTCATGTAATATCCTTACTAAAATTAATTTTCTCTTAAGCATCAATATCTCTGCCTGTTACCAACTTCCATTACAAAACATTTTCCACAGCAAAAATTCATGAACCAATACTTACCACTAAGAATTTCCTTTTTGAGGCCGGAATCGGAAGTGAAACCCATCCATGGTCTGCAAACCCTTGACAAGAGCTTGAGTGAAGGCTGGAAGAGTCGGGTAGAGAAGGGTCTTGGCTAAGCTTCTATATACTCGCCATCATACAAATTAGGTTGGCTAAGGTGCTGAAGATCTCCACTGCTCTCACCCTTGTTCTAATGCCATATTTCTGAAGATGTCATAATATTCAATTAAAAAATACTCAAATTATCATATCTTTTATAAATTTAAGAACCTTTACAGGTCCAAGACTATGAAAAAAAAAAAAAAAAAAAACAATCTTATAAATCAGATTACTACAAAATCTATTGTCCTTCAGATACAATGCAAATCTATTTTCAAACAAATTTAGAGATATCACACCTCTTACAGGAATCTTTTCACATAGAGAACAAGATCTTACCTCCTCTTCACAGAAAATGCGATACATCTCAGGAAGGATGACTGGAGCAACTTGGGGTATGTGCTGATCATCAGTGAGATCCCGAGAAAACTCGGTCAAGACTCTCATTGCACCATGTACAGGTGCCTCCTCACCTGTCTTGAGGGCTGCCATCAACAGGTCAAACAGCCCACACCAATTTTCTGGCCAGTCCCAGTGGGCAATGGCAGATATTGCATATGCTACCGAGGATCTGAAAAAGAGGAGAGCCTCATGTCTACTGATATTCCTTTTCAATCTGAGGCTCTAAATTCTGAATTTCAAAAATATTTTTCCATGTACCAACTTATTTTATCAAAAAATTTCATAACCAATAGCACACATACCTGACTTTACTGATGGGTTCATGTAGGCCATGTGGTAATAATTCTTTGATTTTGGCTTTTGCATATTCTGGACACTCTGTGACTCTAAACTGTAAAGATCATTTAAAAAGTAAAATAAGAGCTTTTAAAATGTGTGCATAAATACTCCATACTTTACAATTTATATTTTCTGTAAATCTTATATTAATTTTCCCATATTCTCTAAATGAAAAATCATACAAACAGTAGCTGGGTACCTGAGCACTGAAATAGTGGCCTTCCAGGAGCTGGCACTTTCCAGTCATGGCTACTGGATGGTGCATTCGACATTTATTTACCAATGGAAAATAAGGCTAGAGACCATTCCTAAGTGTCCATCGAGTATAATCACCCTCAAAGACCTTTGAGTACCTGTGCCAAGTCCGACACAAACTTGCTGCCATTAGCGAAGGCCAGGGAGACAGAAGACTCACCACAAGTGCACAAACCTCTTGGAGTGTGACTTGATTTGACGCTTCAAAGGGGGTCTTAGCATTATTCCCATTGATAAACAAATGTGGAATGTAATGTGCGTAAGCCATGACTGGAAGAGCACTGGCTCAAGTGAGGACACCATTTCCATAATGCACACCGTATTCCTGGCCACTGTGAGCGGCAACGCAGGTTGTATTACAGGAAATCAAAAGTCAAGAAAAAATAAGATGTATGAAAAATAACCAAATGTTCCATATGTTTTTTTTTTGCACTTATTTACAAGAGAGAGGTGATATGAGTCTGTGCAAGGAAAATAAGCTATTTCCATCTGGATAAAGCAACTCAAAAAGACAAATATGGACATTGGAAAATGACAAAAAAGCTAAAAAAATTTACACAAAAAAACTTTGCAAAGGGGGAGGCATAGAGTATTGTGTCCACTCATAGGCATTCACGCATGCCTAGCCTACACACCACACACCTGGGATGCTGGCTACTTACATAACCTACTGCCCATATATTCGGCGCTATGATTTCCATAACAACCAGATCCAAAAAGTTGAGAGCAAAATCATAAATAAGAAAATTTATCACAATCCTACACTCTATAAAGATGAATTGTGAAAATATCTATCTACAATTTTCAACAGCTTTTCAGATAAAATTCATACCAACCTACATATAACTAATGAGAAGTTGAACTAAGACCCATTTACCAGTACCACCAATATTTATTCTTCTGTCACAGAATATTATCTCGAACAATAGACATTTGCATGAATAGTTGCAAAAGTCTGCTATCAACAGTTTAAAAATTGAATACTATACATCCATATATCTATCAGTGCATATATTTTTCTGCAAATTCTTCTTCAACCCAATGCTGCCAGGAAAAATGCAGTGTTCACTTAAGTTTTCTTTGGTGGAAATGCTTTTACACACACAGCTCTACAAGTGCTCTGCCCTAAAGGAGTCATTTAGTGAACCTTGCAACTTCATCTGATTTCCCCTTTCCTTGAGATTTCAAAAAAACAAAAAAAAAAATCTTAACTAAAACTATCAATATCTGTGCAGTTATTTTTATAATACTTAATCATTACAAAAACAGTAATGAATATATACATTTTCAATGTACATATGTTGGTGCATTTACAATACACCAAAATACCTCAAGAAACCTTGTAATGCATCTACTACTATCTACTAAAATCTATATCAATTACCAACCTATCTATAAGAACAAAAAGAGACTGGCAGATAACCACAAATCACAATTTTCTCACCTTCTCCGAGTCCGTACACCAATGAGCTTCGACATACTGTTTAAGCAGCACAGAGGCCAACTGCCGGATGGGAAGGGGGCCATTCCGATCTAGAGTCAGCTCTACTAAGTGGACACCAAATTCTGAAAAAGGGGACATAGTATTACTCTTACAAATCAAGCCCAAGTCCAAGACAAATAAGAATGATTTGGTGTTATGCACTGAACAATCTAATTTGACTGACAGTACACTTTGTGCATCATCTGAAAATATATACCTAAAAATAAACTTTTCTAGATTATATGATCTGTTACACTTTATTGTAATGCAAAATAATTCATCATTTTTTTCATAAATAAACAAACAAATGCATGTCATTTATTAGACAGTCAAATCTTTCAACATGCCAAGTAGCTGTATCATGGATCCTATTTAGGATGAATGGTTTTTAATATGCAACCTACAGGTTTTGCTAACAAAAAGATATTACTTACACAGTTATTCATTTTCCTTACATAACTGGGCAACATATCATGAATAGAATAAACAAATGGAACTGCACAATTCACTCATTTTCTGCTTTCCTCATCAATTAAAGAAATCTACTGATATTTCAACATAATTTATATAACAGGAATATACAATGTTTGTACCACATCTGCAACAATATTCCCTTTTTTTACAGACAACCCATGATGTCAAGATTATCATCATCTCTCTTATGCTTGTGAGCAAAATATACACTAATGCATGCAATATTTTGCAAACTAACCATGCAAATGTTCAACAACTGTAATGATTGTACAAATCTTTTAAATTTGATTTTTGATGTTTTGCATAACCACTTACTTTTTCTTTAAAGTAGTTCATTCTATCAATTTAACTATTACATTTCTTATACTCCCCCCCACCATGGTAGGAATATACAAAGAAAATTAAGAAAAATGGTGCAGGTACAATATCTTCTACACCTACCAGTCCTAACTGTCCGAGTGCAAGGGTACTCAAGATTATCTACATTCTCCTCTTCATTATAATTCACCCAATGGCACCAGGGATGGCATGTATGCACAGGTCATCCACATTGGGAGTTTAGTCTACTGTCTTTACACATAGATGGCTCTACAAGTGCTTAGTAACCAAGGAGTCAATAACTAGTACTACCTATCACACCTTTCAACTTTTTCCATGATTTTTGGATATTCTCACATCTTATATTGCTATTAGAAATGTTAATAAAAATATAAAAACTATATTAATGGCACCAGAAAAAAAATCTGAAACCTCAGGTAAGGGTAAAGTAGGCAAGGTCACAAGGTCTAATAACCAAATCCTTGGTGGCTGAGCACTTTCAACACTATCAATGTGAAAACAAATTTCCAAAAACTGAACTATAGTGAACTTTACATTTCCTCGACAGCAGTGGACTAAACACATTTCCACAGAGTCTACAGTCATCACGGTTTTCCAATAATCTCCCTTCTCCATTCATGTCTGTCTCTCCTTATTCAACATGGATTAGAGTCTATAACAAGTCCCTTGTAGGTCTTCCACTCCCTTCATGCCACAGCTGGCTACTGAATCTGGACAAGACACACTCACCACAGTGCAGATATGCTTATTAATGGGAAACTAGTTACTATCGTGCATCAATTAGCCTATCTGGTGTGCTTCATATTCAAATGTGCTCACAAAAAAATTCTGATGAAATATTTTATATACCAAATCAGTCAGGGGGAAAAAATCATTCTTACATCAAATTGCATATCCGAACATATAAAACAACTTTTCAGTCTCCCCTTGCAATATGGCTTCTTTGCATATCTTCTTGCAAAAGTATTAAGGGCATAAATGTAAATTAACCACTCTTATATCTAAATCACATCTATTTGAAGAAAGCATGAATATTTTGCTTATTCATTCTCCAAAGCAGAAACTTCTTATCACGATACTGGTACTTAACCCAGATTAACAGCCTCGAATCATCCCTGTGAGAATATGAATTTGAAGTGTTTCTTGACATTTCATAACTTTTTAAATCTTTTCAATACAAATTGCTGTTAGTCTGAGTTTATTAAGTACTTCTTGGTAGATCTTAAAACAAAATCCTTTAACATAAAATCCACAGAACATGACTTATCTACATAAGATAACCAGATGATCTACAGAAAGTAAAAGCAGGTTCACAATGGTTCATCAAAGATACACATACAGAGGTTGAAGTGCTTACAAAGTACAACTGTTTAGGAGGCTATGCCTACATCTCATTCATGACCAGTAACTCCTTATCACGTCAATGTTTAAAAATCCAGATTCTAAACAATGTTTAATCACACCCTAAGCTCATTTCCTATGGTTGGTCAACAGCTCAAAAGCCTAGTCTTGAGCAAGACAACTGCTCTGGTGTAGAGCAGAGCTCAATAATGCAGCCTACCATCTCCAAACTTTACACAAAATTTTATCCAGTGTGAATGGGTTAAAAAAAATATTTAACCTTATTGCTACATTTCAATTATCAAAACATTCTAAAAAACTTCACTTTGGAGAAAACTGATCAAAACTTCGTGGAAGCCTTAAAATGTAAAAAGTTGACAAACAAAATTGTCACTAGGTGACATTTTTGGAGTCTATGAATTTTTTTTTTTCCAAAGGACAGGAAAAAAACAAATAGAATAATCATATAGAGCATACGCAACAGTATTGTCCCATTGAATCCAAATCCCTCACAAATTTACTAAAGACACAGGGATAATTACATGCAGTTTAAAACTCCTATTGCCTACTCTCTGCAATGCTGAAAGTTCTTATCCTACCGAGGTGTATATCTTTCAGTTATGTTGTATCAAAATGGAAATAGACCTATTATACTGAGCATTCTTCTTATCTCTCCAGATAGTTTAAACACTGTGCAATAGTAATAGTATTCAGCAACATTGTGTTACTTGTATTATCTTACTATATTTTCATATTCAATTTTCAGTAACACCCTGTGATACCAGTAACACACAAGAACTTTTTACACACATGATGATACATCCTTGTCACCGACATTCATAAACAATTTTCCAAGGCATGGTGTTCCTGTCACTTGGCCTTCAGCCAGATTTTTCCCAATGACGTACCTATTAATTTTTTCTTAAGACTTGCCTGTTACATAGATCAAGATTAAACACCAGTCAACAAAAGCTTCTGAAAATATTTAGATACATCAACAGTTTTACACCTCTACACTCCAGAAACTAGCTACAATCAATAACCTTACACCCCATTTCAGTTTGGTAGAGCTAAACTTATTGCCTCGGAGAGAACTTTCGTTTCACTTGGTCTCCACTCTAGGTATTCTGTGTGGCTGGCTGGGGCTTGCTTCTGGGGCCTTTTTTCTGACAGGGTCGGTGTATAGCGCTCATCACACCACACCAACAAAGTAATGCATTTAAATTTTTTCTTTTCACTTGTGTACTAAACAATTTTTGTTTCTGCATACTTGGAGATGCACGACATGCATATTAGTTGCTAGACTGAACCTGTAGTAGTTAAATTATCTACTAATAGCACCATGAAAATTTTAAAAAACAATCATAAATCTTCACAAAAATCCAAGGCAAGATCTGGTAGGCCTAGTAACCAATTCCTATGGGACTAAGTATGTCTGGAGCCATCTCCAAGTAAACAAAAAGTAAACTGACAATGGAATGGACCTGCATGCATATGCACTTCTAGCATCAATGGGTTAAATGCCAAATCAGATTTTTTCTTCTCACAAGTCCTTGCATTTGATTATAACACTACCACAAAAAATCATGACTTGAAATTTTCATTGGCCCAGTAACTTTTAGTAACTTTTAGGGGGGAGGGACTAATCTGGACTGTATTGTGAGCCATGACCGGAAGAATGACAGCTCTAAGATAGACACAATTTCCATGCTCACGATCCTATTCCTGCCCACAGTTATGAGACAGTATTACAGAAAATTGAATATTACAAAAATATTCTTTAAACTGACAAATAAAATGTCACTTTTGTTATTGATATTATGCAAGGCTATAGACTACGTAGAGATGACAAGGAGTTGAGGAAACCATTCTATTAACATTTTCATACAGCATATCAAATGACAAATATAGACATTGGAAAATGGCAAAATAGCAAAAAACTTGTGCAGAAGAAGAGTTAACATTGCAAAGGGGAGGCAAGGAGGCTTTACATCACACAAGTGTTTGTATGCACCCGGCCTAAAAGCCACACATCCAGGAGAGTTGCCAATCATGTAAGCCTAAAGCCAAGATTTTGGACTGTGTGCAGGAAGTGAAGCACCCATATCCAATAGGTCAATGTAAACAATGATGCTTGTTCTACAGATGAAAGTTTTAAGTCAACAAAAAAAATAAATGCATTTTCAGGCTATTGGCCTGAGAATAGACTCGAGCACACATGCCTTCAAATCAACTTTTTAGGTTTGCATTATATGGATGAAAAAACTCCAGATTAGATAATAAATTAATGACTTGTGCATTTACTTTACAATTGTAAATCTCTAAGGCACTTTTAAATACTCAATTTTCATTAGATTTCTTAAACGACAACCACTGTATTATGAACTATGATAGATGGCCTACAATTTGAAGTCAACACTCAGCTAGCCTACAGCTGATATCTGCTGAAGCATATTTGGTAAATCTTTAGAATAAAGACCCACTCACTAGTCCCTAACTCCATAACCTTTATTCAATAGTATCAATTGCCATGACTGCGCGTGTCTGAGCAGATGGTTGATGGGAGCTCTTCTCCTTAACATCCCCCGGCAAACATTGTCTTCACCTTGGTATTCATCTCTGCCAATTATTTCTTGTACCAACAATTACAGGGTTCTTGCACATATAAGCTGATAAAATTTAAGACCTTTTCAAGTTTTTACGACCTGGAGCCACCTGTCGCAAAATACAAACTTCCCAAATAACGTATAGGCCATTGTCGTGTCAGTACCCAAGATAAAAATAATTCACCCCATGATTTTTTCAAGGCCTCAGGGATAGATTGCATAACAGTCCGCACAGAGATCCGCAGGTGAGTGAATTGTGACAGCGTCTGCCGGCAACAAATGTGTTCATTTCCACAAATAAAGATGTACCTTGAGCAAGTTTAAGATATTTTAAGAACTACGACAGAGAAGCTCCATTTTTTTTAATAGATTTTTAAGGCCTTAATTTTTTTTTTATTATTTAAGACATTTTAAGACTTTTTAAGAATGCACCCAAACTCTGAACTACAACTTTTTGTTCTATACACAAATACCATTATCAATTTACCCTAACTTAGTGCATCCACACTGTAAAGATTAACTGCATATTCGGCTAGAAGAGCCTTCGTTTCATATAGACTGATTCGGTAACACCTAGCAACCGCCCCTAGCAACGAACACTTGGTGAAAACAAACCCTCGTTCATTCAAAAACTCACTTGCTTTGCTTACAAAGTCGTTGAATTTTTCCAAGAATTTAGATTCTTTGCATGAAGATGCCGAGGAGCTGTATTGCCATTAGTTATTCGAAACACATGGGAAAGAGAGGTTTAACCTTTCACATATTCCCAGATCGCGAAAAGAAACCTGAAAATGGAAGCGATGTGTATAGGCCATGAAACGCGTGAACACTGATGGAGTGCTTGGGCGCCTGGTGGAATATGTTTACTTGTGCTCAGAACATTTTACTGATCTACATATTAACAATATTTTACACCTTTCCAAATTCCAAACAGATAATCACTTTCAAACTCTATCTGTCTATACACTACCTACCAAGGCCAAACAAGATCAACATTGTCAACATTAGGTTTTGACAGCAGTCCTATACTCTAAAAGGTACAAAAGCAGCTTTATTTTCTTATCTATTTATTATTTCCTGTAATACATTGATTTATCATAATGTAAATTTACTGGCAAACCATCCGCAGATCCACCTCACCAGGCTTTATCCTATGTGTCGTCAAGAACTGTCCATTTGAGGTCTGTTGCCTTTGTGTCTGAAATGTCATATGGTACAGCAAATGAAACAACTGAAGAGGGCCTATCTCTTGAGGTCAAATTAGTGAGGAGAGAGAAACAATGCGTTGTGCACTTGTAGGTCTTTACTTGGATTCATTGTCTCCTTTGTATAAAGACCTAGTAAATAAGAAGAAAAGTGATGTTTGGAAATTGCACTGTTTTCACAGAAAAATACCCTACATAGCTAAACGTCATAAATTACTATAGAAAATTATATTATAGAATTATTATTATGTGGTGTGTTGGTGAAATAGTCGTAGATGTTAGGATATTCAATATAGGCCATTTCCAAAGATTGTCGATCCCAATTTCAGCAGGCAGGGGGTATGAACACTGTTAGCTGCACAGCTTCTAGCTATACTTTATATCACTTTTTCACCGTTTTTTATAGAATCAAAGAATTCATACGTCATTTTCACTCACGCTGATAGCAAGGTATCTGCGAGTGATGGGTTTGTTTTCACCACGCGGAATGGTAACTTTGTTTCATGACGTCACACCGAATCGGTCTATTTGTCAAGCTACTCTAACTTTCCAGAAAATGAACAGATTTGCTGGCTTTTGCTGGAGCACCAAGAGGCAAAGGCCAAAAGTAGTTGTGCAGGTTTCTCCTTGACAATTCTCTTTATGGAAAAAATCATATTTGTTGTTTACACCATGGGCAACAATATCAATTTCAGAAATACAGCTTAAAATTAAATTTCCACGGACATAAAATCCCAGTCAATGCAAACCTAGAATTTTCTAATGTGCAGACCAATCTATACAACTTTGATATTCACTTTTCATACAATAACAAAACCTCAGGAGCTGTCAGTGCAATGCAAACCCCAATTCAAATGCTAGATGTTATGGATTAATATCTAAATGTCTTTTCCTTTCTTTTTCCTTTGCCATG